ACAAACTGTAAAAAAATAAGTATCTTGTTATTTGATAATGTCTATAAATCCATTTATCTATTAAAACTAATAATGTTTAACTTTTTTTGTCATTTTTTAAGAGTGAATAAAGGCTGAAATCCACAATAAACATGTTTTATTATACACCAGTCATTTTGACTGGTTTGGTAGAAATAGGTATATTTTTACTTTTTGAAAAAAATCCATAGCATGTCTAATCTACCACGAGCGGTCATTTGACCGCTTACAAATTTCATGTTATTTACGAGTATATTTTTCGGAAAACGATTTCCTGAAATTATTTTACGAGTCTACAATGAAATTGTGGATCTACAATGTGGACAATCGAGCGATTAGAACAAATTGGAGAGGGAGTAGCTGACATAAATACAGGTATATGAAAATAGATAAATCTTCTTTCAATATATTAACAAATAACAATCCTATATATTCTAATCATTACTTATTTCATGTATAATATACCTGTTAAAAAATAAAATGTTAACTGTGATTCAAGGATTACATTTTTCTTTATTATTTGCGCAAGATGTTAAAAAATTTATAACTTCTAATTTTGTTGACTTTTAAATAATTTTCACTTTTATATATATATTTAAAAATTAAGAAATATGAACAAAAAATTTGAAAACAAATAGAAAAAAATTATTAAAAAAAACTTCCCCAAAGAAGGATCGAACCACTAACTAGCAGCATGTAAAGTGAGTACGCTACTACTTACGCTAGCACGCCACTTAATAGTCGCATTAAAGATAATATAAACATGTATACAAAAAATTCAAAACTTTAAAAGCATTTTTCTCAAAATTGACTTCGCATTTTGATAAAATACTTTACCACGTTAACACCCTAAAGGTATACTACTAATATACCAAAGCTTGTTAAAATCCGTGAGGGCATAACCGTAAGGTCTCCTTGTTAGTTCAATGCATTTATCCGTTGAAATTGAAAAAAGTGAAACCCCCGTATACCAGAGATAATTAGATTTTACAGTAGCACAAAATTCGGTGTAGATGTAACCGATCGGATGGCTGGAAAACATAGTGTAAAATCTAAATGTCGAAGATGGTCTTTACTGATATTTTTCAATATTTTAGATTTAGCCAAGATAAATGCTTGGATTTTATATAAAGTAACGACGGGTGAAGAAATATCAAGGCAAGAATTTTTATTCCAATTAACAAAAAAAGGAGAGCCAGCTAAGCAAAGAATGTTCAACAAAAACAATAATAAATACAGCTACAGTTTTTTCTAGACGGAAATTTTGTCAAATAAGATATTGTAAAGTCAATAAGACTAACAAAATTTGTATAAAATGTAAAAAAAACGTATGTGGAAAATGTGCAATAAAAAATGCTGTAATTTGTAAAAATTGTGCTGAAAATGCATAAATAAAACTTTTTATATAAAAAAGCGGGGAGCGGGTTTTTCTTGTAGCACCAGGAAAATATTTTGTTTACTATCCAATTGGCTAAAATCGCTTTCTATATCAAAATACATATGTTTTCTTGAAGCGGTCCTTTGACCGCTTATGATAGGAATTGATATATATGAAACGTCGATAGGTTTAGTGTTAAATGTGTCACAGCAAAAAACTAATATTATTTTATCATATTATCGTCTTATTGACAAATTTAGAGTAAGTATTATATTGATACGCGGGATAGTCGGAATTATTTTTGATGTTCTTTTTTTTAAGTTATTTTTTTAAATTATTTTTGAGGTTATTTAGGATTATTTTGAGATTTTATTCGTTTTGGTACGCTAAAGAAGTATAACTTCTTACGTGTGTATATAAGTACACACACCAGTTTTTTTTTATTTCTAATTTCTATTTTTCGTTTCCCATAATTTATTAACCGAGTTGTCATCCGATTTGTTTATTTCCTTCACGGTCACGAATCTGTTCGATACTTCGCCGCGTACTTTGTCCCTTTTTCTTCTTTGGTAATATTTTGTACATTTGACCGTTTATTTCCTATCCATTGCTTGTTTTGTTTTATTTATCGAAAGACGTTCCCTCACCCTATCAATTACCCAAAAAATGATTCGCCCCCCTATATGATTTAACATCGAGTATATTCGTGTGCCACCAGAACGTGATGAATTTGATTACACGTCTTTCCATCCAAAGAAATTCAAGTTTGTTTATGAATATTTCTATGCTTGAAATACGTGTTTTTAACGATCAAATCTTTTCCGGTCGCGAAGTTGATTTCCCTTATTATCATTACTTTTCTTTGTGAAAACTTTCGAGTCCGATCGTTGGTCTGAAAATATCCTCTTTACCGATTTTCGCGTTAAAATCCCTGAAAACTACTTTCATGTAATCTTCTAGCAATTGATTCACGAGGTGTTCGAGTTTCTCGTAGAACCCGTCTTTAATTTCATCTTCTTTGTCTTCCGTCGGCATGTGAACATTGATTATCGTGATCTTGTACCACTGATCCTACACAACGAACAGTTTTAACCTTTCGTTTAAAAATTCAATTCTTCATACCGCGGATAGGATTTTCTTACAAATTATAAACCCGACGCCAAAATTATTATTACGCCATAGTGAAGCGTATACGCCTCCGTGTTAAGGAGTACACCTAGTGTGACCGCTTAAAAAAAAGGTGATTTTTGGGAATTTTTTGTATAGAAAACTACTGGATAAAATATTTTAAAATTTAGAGGATATATTTATGCATAATTAATGAAGATTCACTAAAATTTTCAAATGAAAAAAGATAATTTTCAGCGAGTTATTCGCTATCTTCCAAATCACTAAAAAAAAGGGCCTAAACGGCTGCAGTGATTCCGGCCTTTACCGTGGATGAAATACAAAAAAAAATACTGTTAATCTAGAAGGTATTGTCTATACAATGACCTAAAATTGTGAAAAAAATTGAAATTTAACAAAATGGCAGACTTTTAAACAAAAAATCGAATTTTGTTCAAAATTTTGATGATTTTTGGAAAAACTTTTAGGTCATTGTACAGAGAAACATATACGAAATAAGCAGAAAAAAAATCAAATCGATCGGATGATTCTTCATCGAGTTAAAACTGCAGCCAATTTGAAAAATGTAGTTTTGAGAAAAACGCGTTCAAAGATAAAATGATTGCTTTCTAATCCCTGAGCGGTTACTCTTTAGAAGTCTGTAACTCTAAAACTATTTGAAATATTTATTTGAAATTTCAGTATGTTATTTTTAAAGACATAGATTATAAAAATATGCAAAAAAAAAAATCAATTTTTTCAAATTTTCACACTAGGTGTGCCCTTTAAGTGAACCTTCCCCGGCTCATCTAATTTCTTCCAGGGCGACGACTTCTGCCTCGTACTTTTCAATCTCCCTGACAATCGACTGCAACGCCTTCGTACGTTCCATGTATCCGCTTTGAGATCTCTCCCGTTTTCGGACTTTACCCGACATGAATTCTCCAGAGTAGTCCCCACCCAGAAATCCGAATGGGGACTAGTTTAAATCCGAAAAATTTTACTCTAGTTGATTTCATGGCAAGGTTTGGTTGTTACCAGATAAAGTCTTTTTATGGTGTCAGCTTATCAGACCTACGCCCAACCTTCGACCAGGAGAGCCTTTTTCAATCGACTGTCAGCGACTGCTTATTCAGTATATTCGTACCTAACCTCTATCCCTATCTGAGAAAAAGAGATATTGCCATTTCTCAATCCGCAACCTTAGAAAGTGCTGTGTCGTGGTGACTGGGACCATAACAATTAGTTTTACTTCCCTGAGACTAAATTATGCTAACACAGATATTAATTTCATAGGGAATATAATTAAAAAAGAAGAGTGCATAATTATAAATTAAATAATATACAATAAAAATAACACACACACAATATTTAATTTTTCAGCATGCAAACGATACATTTTTCAGGATAATATTCGTTGTATAGACACATAAAACATAAACAAATAACATATAACATAAGTAACATAAAAGAGAAAAAGAAAATTTGTACACTATTACACTGTTATATTTCCAAAGCTAAAGAAATAAGATTTTTAGCGATTTTTGTATAAATCGTCTTTTCGCAAACAAATTAATATATATGCTAAGTTTAAAAATACAAAGATTATTTTCATGGACCACCACAAGTGTACAAAGTCTGAAAAAAATCTGGAAAATGTCTTACTGACGCGCACCTTGTAAGATTCACCGGGAGTCTCTGTGTAAGCAGTAATGAGTGTACATCCAATCAACTTAAAGTTTGCCATTACATTAGTATAATGGTATAGAATTAGGTTGTCATGCATTCCCTTTTCTATTACTTGTTTCAAAATCCAATATCGTATGCCAATAAAGACGGTCATGTGAGAATGTGTTACTATTTGAAGTTTTTTTGAATAATAGATAAAAATAAGTTAAACAATATACATATATGTAAGTAAATTATAAATTGAAGAATTATTAATTATGGTAATAAGCAGTAATAGATAAAAAGTATAGTTTGGAATTATTTGAAGAAAAGATATATATAGGAGAAGAAAAAAAGATAGTTTTCTTTTCTTGTCATATTATTATCATACCTATATCCTGCTACATACGTTGCAAAGCCCACATTTAACTATAACTAAAGTGAAAAATTTCTTTGATATTCAAAAGCTTAAACACTTTGAGACCGAATACATTTTTAGCTATTTTCAAACGAAGTATTCTAATTTGAGTGATGTGGATCTCTCTCTCTCTCTCTCTCAATTGCTGGTTTATTAATTATAAACTATTGTAATGAATATATTGTTGGGTGCTATTTAGATTATAAAACTAACATACCTATTATGATTTACTCCGTGTATTCTCAGCTAGCTCGACTATTACTTGAGATGATCAAAAAGCGGGTAAAACTGGATAATCTGAGAATTTATTTGTTGCGACATCAAAGGAAGGAATTTATTATTTCCTTAAGCAATAAATAAGATTAATTAAATGAGACTTACGTGCGTTTATTCGAATCTTGAATGTTAATCTATTTTATTGACGAATAATTATATTATTACAAGTAGGAAAATTATGTAAAATGTATTTAAAAATGAAAATTATTCGAGATTTACTCAAAAGAAATCGATATCTATTTAGTAAACTATCTATGAGACTCTTTGGGAGCTGACTCTCACCGCTCTAAGACGATCGGTGAATAAAACGTTAACTTTCCGCACTTTATGACAGTCTATTGAGAAATATTCGTTATTAGTCAATATTTCACGAACGATATGAATTTCGGTGTACGTGCAGTACATTATAAGGCTGCCTTCCTTATCAAACCCGTGAATTAAGTGGCCGCATTACTCAACTTTTACTTCCGGCTCGTTAACCTATCTGTCGGTGATGATTATTTCTGCCCTCAAAATCTATATTAATAGTCCAGTCAAAAAAAAACAAACTACCAGATTTTTTGGTAATTCTGGAAAAACTTGATATAATGGTAATTCGACGACGCTGAATCGAATGGTGCTAATTTTATTGAAATTAAATTCCTTGGCGTTGAGCAAAAGGGTAAAATACGGTATAAGAAACGGCATAGAACATAATGACAATTTCAATAATTATAATCTAGTGACATAATTTCCTTCACTCGCGCTCAAGGAAATATGACGAACGCGATAACGTCGAAAAACGTTATGTTTCCTAATTTTCTGTTGAAAACATATAGAGTAAATTTGATCAAGTCGTAGCCCACATAAAAATAAGCGTATAAATTGTGTGATTTGATCTATGAAAAAGAAATTTCTTTATTTTCCATAATTTCTATCAACATTGATTTCATTTATTTTAATGATATTCGAAGTATCGATACATAATAGTAACAAAACTTATTAAATAGATATAATATAAGCACACGACTAAAGAATAAGGGTCTTAAATGCTATCACTCATAGCCTTACTCACACTTAAAAATTTAGTTAAAATAAAGATAATATATATAAGATCATTTTTATAAATAATAATATTAAGAAGAGTCAGTTTTAAAACTTATTTCTTGGTTTCATGTTAATTCCTGCATATAGATTATGCAATAATATTTTACATAATAGTAAAAAATTAAACCTAACCGAAAATAATGACAACAGCGATGCTATCTCATTGGAGAAACTGTCCACGTGCTATTTTTTCTTCACTTATATAAAAATTTACCAAATGTCTACGGACAAATTGTAAAGATGTATGGAGTTAATAAAAAAAAAAACAAACAAAAAAATAACTGGTGTATGGATTTATATAAACATTTCAGAAGTTATACTTTTTCTGCGTAACAAAACATTTTTTTTCACAGCCTATATGCCTTACAATGTTCAGCGTTTTTTTGGTACGGATACTTTCTTTTAAATACATTTGTATAACAATAGCAATAGGCATTACACTTCTCTGCATTAGTTTTAGAAATCTCGAAAACTGAAACAAAAATTTAAATGTATACTGATACTGGTCAAAAAGCTGCAAGAAATTATAGTTTCATAAGAACTATTGTAGAAAATAATTTATAAATAACTAAGATGCATTCATTTTTCAATTCTTTTGATAGAATATTAATGCGCATGGTTTATTCCCAGTGTGAATAAAAAGAAGACAATGCCTTCTAAAATTTTTCATGATTTCAGTATCGTCAGCTTCTTCTTATTGTTGCTGAAAATGATGCGCTCTCTCTTCCAGTAAAATGATTGATCATCTATGTGGAGAATATAAGTTTTCTAATGCTTTGAATAAATATTTTTCAAGAGAATTATATTATTTGCTTCTTTCAGAAGCAAGATTATTATTTTTATCTTTTAACAGATACATATCTTACTTTTTCCTTTTAACTGTGGCTGGATTCTATTCGCATAATAATTCACATAAAATCTCTACGAAGTAGACGTTATGTAAAAGAAATCTTTATATTGTTTACTATTGAAAAATGAAATTTATATGCATAGATCCGATGCTTGAATGGAGTCTTTTTCTTGGGTGTGTTACGGCCTTTGATTGGAACAAGAAATGTAGAGCCGCATACTTAGCTAAACCTAATTAATAAAGTAGTTTACGTATGAAATATAAAAAATATAAAAACAGAAGCAAAGCACCATAAATTGAATTAAAAAATAATATAATACATATATTTTACTCCGTAAAGTATGAAGAGGAGATATTAGAGGTTAAAAAGAATGAAAGTTGGCTACGGAGGGTAAACAAGCAGAGGAGGAAGGTCAGTAAGGAGCAAAACCAAAGAGTATGAATTAGAGGAAGTAGGATAAGGAAAAGTGCAAGAAGTACTGTTATAGAGATTTATAAAGATAAGGAGGAGTGTGATAGGTTAAGGAGTGTGTTAAGTTAAGGAGTGTTAATGTTAAGGAATGAAGAGTAATGTTAAGGAACAAAACAAAATGTAAACCAAGTCATTCCACTTGGCGGTAAAGTGGGACAAATAAACATTATTATTATTATACTCCGTAAAGTATTTTAACTGAACAAAATATTGCTATTCTAATTCCTATTGTCTTTTATAATATCAGGATAAAGAGAACGATTTGTAATTCATCGATATTCTTAGATTAAAATCAGAAAATTGTCATCGTGTGTTTAAGGAATAAACAAAATCACATATCATGTTATCCAGTTTATTCATTTTGAACCTAAATTGATGATTAATACATAGAAGAAATTAAACGAATTAAAACTAATAAATAATAAAACATACCCCAATTAATCTCAAAAAAGACTTTTATTACTAATATTCACAAATAATCAATGTTTTTGAAGATGTTTTTGAGGATATTCACGGTTTTTTAATATCAATCACCAACATATGTAATAATTATAATAAACCAATAGAAGAATAGGACGAGTGTCTTTGTTAATGGCTCAGCAGGGTTTGCTTAGCAACAGTTTGAAGATTAGGGAGACACGATAACAACATTTCGATATTCTCAAAATTCTCAACAAGGAAAGAATATTGTCACTTTGATATTCTCAAAATGATTTATAGTCCGGTCAATTTAGACATTAAAAAAGTGGTCAAATAACAATAATTCCCAAAGAGCCAAATTTTTGTGGAGAGCTGTAGTTTACCATTACAAATAAAGTTTTAAAAATCCGCATCGATTCTATGTGTGCTTAAAAAGTTATTCGAGGTCAAAGGTCAAAATTTGAGGTTTTTTGGATTTTGCTTGAAAACAGTAAGTTTTATCAAAAAAAACTTCAAACCAAAGTTGTAGATCTTAAAATTCTCTACAAAAATGATCTTTATGATTTGTTTCCTAAGAGTTACCATTCCTGAGATATCGCGATTCTAAGAGTCACAGTATATATGATATGCACATATAAGCCACATATATACATATTAGGCACTTAAGCAAGTATAAATACATATTTGTGTCTGTTTTATATATATTATACTATCCTAAAAACATTTATTCAAAAGATAGCCATTCCCTAATTGAATCTCCTCTATGCACGTGGGCTTGAAAAACATCGGGCTATTCTTTTGTCCGTTGGTCTCGTTCATATTACTATTTCTTTTAGTGCTAAAGGTTCAGTTCAAGTGAATATACGTACTTATTACAAGCGTCTACCATTTAGGTTATATGTGTTATTTTATAGCTCTAAAATATGTCTCAGTTTTGCTTTATTTGCAATAAACTTTTAACTGAAGATAAAACAGTTGTGGTTGATCGTGGAATGCCAAATTTAATCGAGGCTAGTGTMGCGAGAGGTGATGAGTTTACTGAGTATTTAAGAATTCAAAAATCCGTTACAATACACGTGGATTGCAGAAAATCATACACCCGGAAAACTTCAATTTCTGCAGTGAAAAGACAACGTGAGGAGAAACAGGCTAGTACTTTAAAAATAAGTCCACCTCGTACTAGAACGCGAGTAAGTGAATCAAATTTTTGTTTTAAAAAATATTGTTTATTTTGTGGCAATGAAGCCAATGAAGAAACTGAGAAAAAGAAAGCACAGCATCTTCGAAAAAAAATTTGTTATGTGACTACACTAAAATTCAAAGAATCACTGTTGAAATTAGCTAAAGATCGTTCTGATGATGTTTCAAAGGCTGTTCTTGAACGTATTAATTTTGAGTGTGATTTAGTCGCTGCTGATGCAAAATATCATGACAGTTGTTACAAATCTTTCTTAAAACCTAATACTGGTGGTAAAATTGGYCGTCYACAAGWTKAAACTATAAACTCTGCGATGGAGATAATTTTTCAATTCTTAGAAACGAGTGATGATTGCCAGTTTTCGTTGGATGAATTAAGGAATGTTTGTCAAGATGTAGCTTTAGATGACAGAACAATAAAAATACGATTGAAACTGAAGTATGGCAGTAGAATTATTATTACAGAGAAGTCTGGAAAATTAACATTTATTTGTTTTATTGACAATTACCAAGATATTTTAAGTCAAGTCTGGTCTGATAAAAAACACTTGGATGAAAAAGACAAGCGGTTAAAAACTTTGAAAGCTGCGGCAGCAATTGTTCGTGAAGATATTCAATCTTGCGTTTTCGATAATACTATGTACCCCCCACCACGTAGAATGTTCGAGGATATAAATAAAGATATTCCCGAATCATTATCATATTTTTTGGAACAAGTCATTTTAAAAAAAAAGCGTCATAATTTAGATCATCTAAAGTTAATTTGTACGAATATTAGCCACTGCATCATGGCTGCTGTTCGGCCTAGAACCTTTAAATCTAAACTACAGTTGGGTCTTTCTGTTTTTTTTTCATCGGCGATTTGGTTCGAAACGTCTCAGCCACATTTGAAGAATTTATGAACATTCAGCAAGAGGAAGAGGAAGAAGAAGAAATCGAAGAAGATATGATTGTTGAAGTAGACTTTCAAGAGTATGAATCTGATTAAAATATCTAAAGAAATCAAAACAATAGTGAACCCAATAATCAATAGCAATATCAATAATACGGAAATGTCTAGAACTTGACGGTTATTGCTCCCCGTCGAATTTGTGTTGTTGAAAATGAG